CTTATCAGGAGCTCAGGGCTCAAGGCCTCCCCAGCTCAGAGTGGGGCCTGAGACCACTTTCTTTGTCCCTGCCTGGTTCAGGAACTGCATTGGGAAACAATTTGCCATGAATGAGCTGAAAGTGGCCGTGGCCCTGACTCTACTTCGTTTTGAGCTACTACCAGATCCCACCAGGATTCCTGTACCCATGGCACTAATTGTGTTGAAGTCCAAGAATGGAATCCACCTGCATCTCAGGAAGCTCCAATAATTCTGGTGGAAGAGAAGTCATCTTTGGGCCAGCTGCTTGAAATTTTGAGTTTCTGTCACCTGTTCCTGTGCACCTTCCATTGCCCCAAAACTGCTTTCCATCTTTCCACCTGCCCTTCTTCCCACCTSCCTGCTCTCCTGCCTCTTTGTCTCATCTAACTCTAGGCTCCCTACCTGCTTTTTTTCTATGTGTCTCCCTCCTGCCTATATCTTTGTCCCCTGATAACCTGCATATCCATTTCCTTGTCTGTTCCTTTACCTTACTTGTGCTGCTTGTCTGTCCATCTATGAGTTTCTTACTGCTGCTATAAAAAGTGAGAACAACCTCAATGGCTTTGTATGACAGAAATATAGTTACTTATGGTCCTGAATAACAGAGTTCTAACATGGGTTGCCTTGAGTTGCAACCAAGATAATGGTGCTGTCACTGCACATCCACGGCCATTGGTGTGCCTCACCCTTTTGTCATTTCCGTTATCTAGAGCTGCATTGCTGGACTTCATGATCTATGGTTAATATTCAAATCCTGCAACACCTTTGACTCTCTCTACTTCTATCTTTATATCCAATCTCTATCATAAGGACCTTTGTGATAACAATGTGCCCATGTGATAATAGAGAATATCATCATAGTTCTCCCAGGTCAAGGATGTGTACATTGGTTGTGTACATTCAGCCTAGCATACTTCCTTCCTGTCACCCAATCTAACCATGTATATCTCTCCTCATATCTATTATCTAAGCCTCTTTGTCTTTTCTCCCTCCTGCATAAAGTTCACAAAGTTGAATATAGGGTCTGTCTTTCCTTAAAAGGTGATGGAGGGATGGGAAAAGAAAAGAAAAACGTCCCTTCTGAGATAGAAGATGATATCTGCCTGGCCAGATGCAGCCCACCCACTCCAAGTGGCTTTGTTCATGGGACCTTCTCATGTCACACAATTGCCCATTGGTTCCATGTAACTGAKCTTAGAACTCCCTGGTAGTTCAGCTAGAGAAATTCACATCCTTGGGGTAAAAGAATAGGCCTACATTCTATCCAAGGGTTAATACTCCTCATAATTGAATCTTCTAAATATCAAGACAGAGCCTGAATTGAGCAGCAGTGTCACATGGTAGTGCCTTGCACCCTGAATGGCCATCCCCCAGCCATTCCTAGCCTATGGACTCAAACCATAGWCTGAGGTCTGTTTGTAGTGTGACACCACCTTCTATTCTCTACATGGGCTTCTCCCCCAGTGGTGCCAGCAGCCAGGGTCTTCCTCCCAGGTTCCTGGCTGCCCAGGTCCCTGGACAAATTCAGCCCTGAACTAAGAAGGAACCAGAGAAGGCAGGCTGGACATGAAGTGCCTGGTTCAAAATGAAGGAGGAAGAGTGAGGTGGGAATGTCCTGGAGAGGCTGAATGGCAGTCTTCTGGCATCAGGTGGGACAGGAGGGTTCATGCTAACCATGCTCAGAGATCAGAGGTCAAGGGGAGCTAACTACCATCATGACACTCAGTCCTGTGGAAGCAAAGGAGAAGCTGTACATGAGAGCAGGTGTCAATATCTGAGTCCAAGAAGTCGAGACCTAACCCTGACCCAAGAGCAGGAGAAGGTTAGAAGAGGGAGAAATCTGAATGTCCACATGTCATGAGTGACTTGGGTACTTATCACTTCCATACACATAAAATAGCCAAAATTGATTGGAGAGTTAAAAGAGCCCACAGAAAGGCAGAAAATGTTTCAAATTAAATGAAGATATCAGAAGAACTCCTGTATTCAACAACAAAAACACAACCATCACATGCAAAAAAATAGGCACAGAACTTCAATAGACACTTCTTTCCTCTGAAGAATATGGGTATGTGGCCAAGAGAAGGACACAAAGATATGCTCAACATCATTTGTTGTTAAAATAATTATGTAAATTAAAGCCACAATTAGACACTCCTTGAGGTGTGCATTAAATTAAATTATTATATAAGGAGAACAAGAAATGTTGAATAGAATGTGCACAACTTTGGAAGTCTTATGCATTACAAGTAAAGGTGAGTTGGTACAGTACACTAGGAAACAATATATAAAAAAAAAAACGAAAGCTTGAAATAGAATTAGTATAGGATTCAGGAGTTTCACTACCAGGTGTTTACCTCAAGTAATTGAAAGTGGCTACTAAAATAGATACTGGCAAGTTTATTGCAGTATTGTTCACAAGAACCTTATGCACACCCAACTGTCCATCAAAAAATAAATGGATACCAATAAAATATTGCCTATGCAGTTAAATATTATTCAGTTTTGGAAAGCTATATAGTCTGATACCTGGTATAGCATGAAGGGTCTTGACAAGACTATGCTCAGTAAAATAAGCAGTACACAAAAAGACAAATCTTCTAGGCTTCCAGTCATCTCTAGTAGAATAGGTAATTTCATAAAGCCCCAAAGAAAGTTAGAAAATGTAGATTAGAGATTATGAAGGATTGGGGAAAGGGAGAATGGGATGTTAATGCCTAATGATTACAATATTTCTGTTTGAGGTGATGAAAAAGGTTTTGAAATAGAGGTTATGGCTGCAAAACATAATGAATGCAATTAATGTCAGTGAATTTTAGAATACAAATTGACCAAATTATCAAAATTTCATTCTGTATATTTTAYTATTAAAAAATTAATGCCAGAAATTATGGAGTGATAAAAAGGTAAATTTTAGTGTATGCTAATTATATCTCAATCAAGATGTTAGTCTTAACCTATAAAAAGAGAAAAAACAAATATTTAAAATTAGTGATGAAAAAGGAGATATCACAATAGAGCCACCGACATATAAAGGATATTTAAGGTCTATCACAAACTGTTCTTGGGAAAAAATGGAAAATCAGAAAAAATGATTACATTTCTGAACACACAGACCAAATTGATTGTTGAGGACACAGAAATCCTGAACAGATCAATAAAAATTCACAARATGGAATTAATAATAGAATGTTTCTCTAAAAGGAAAAGACTTTGGATGTTCTCACTGATGAATTTCATCAAACTTTTAAGAATAACTAATGTAGTTCTTCTCAAACTATTCCCAAGTATTTAAAAAGAGGAATCCTCCCTTCTAATTTCATTCTAAGAGGAGGAATTACTGATACCAAAATCAGATACATACTTAACCAAAAAAAAAAAAGAAAGAAAAATACACACCAATATCACTGATGTATATAGATCCAAAGATTTTCTACAAAATACTAGAAAACCAAATTCAACAGCACGTAAAAATATTATATATTGTGAGGAAATGGGCTTTATTCCATGGGTACAAGAATGTTTCAAATCAATGTATGTAATGCATCGACAAAATAAATATGATTCATATAATTGTGTAAATAAATGGGGAAAAAAACATTCAAAAAAGTTCAACTTCCCTTCATGACAAAAACATCAAGTAAATAGGGAAGGAATGTGCCTCAGTACAATAAGGACTGTATATTATAAACCAATAGCCGAGATCAAACTGAGTGGGGGAAAAGTTACAATTATTTCCTCTCAGATTAGAAATGAGACACAGATGTTCACTTTCACCACTGTTATTCAATGTGCTACTGGAAGTCTTGGCAAGATCGAAAGACAAGAAAAAGAAATAAAGAGCATTGTAGTCAAATTATCCCTGCTTGCAGATGATACAACTTTATATGTAAAAAAAAATATAAAGTCTCTACCCCAACACTGTCAGAACAAACAAATGGATTTGGGAAGGTTGTAGGATACAAAATCAAAATAGAAAAAATCAGARCCTTTTTTAATACATTAATTATAATCTTCCTGATAGAGAAATCTAGGAAGAAATCAGATTCACATTAGATACTAATATTAATACTAATAAATGCAAGAAGGAAATTTAACCAATGAAGTGAATGATTTCTATAGTGAAAAATGCAAGTCATTGTTTAAAGAAATTGAAATCGAGGGATCCAAGATGGCAGAATAGAGGAGGTACTGTTTCTGGCTGCTCTGTGGAATTAAACCAAGAAAGCAGTCAGGCGGCGTCTGCACAAGGTCTCACCTAGATGGAATACAACATCTCAGAGAGTGTGATAGGACCCCTATACAGCAGATTTTCACAGAAACCATCAGAACTGCGACCACCTGCACAGAAATCAGAGCCTCTGTGTTCCAGTAAGACTTCTGACTCCCGGACCCAAAGCCCACAGTTCTAGTTCACATACAGCTCTCAAGCCACGTAGCACAACCACCTAATCAGCTGCGCTCTGCTCCCATGCAGGCCACACAGCTGTAATATAGCCATAGCACAGGCCATCCCAGCTCTCCCCACCTCACTAGACACCCCAGTGCTGGAAGCAGACCGACTCCATCTTGGAAAACCTTTCTTGACATTTTTTTGGTGGGTGTGGCTATCAGCGGGAACTCCTTTTGAACAGGTACCTGGTTTCCGCTTCCTCCACCTTCTCTCCTCCCCAGCTGTGATTCCTCAGCACAAAAACCACTTTCAGCTGAACAGGGAGCACAGTGTGACCAGGGCACTGCCCACCTGGCACGAGTCTGGGGGCKAGAGGTCCCGAAGTTGGGACCTGAAAAGCAAAAGAGGGGAGGGTTCTAAAAACCTGAAGCAAAACAGAGAGATCAGGATTGGGAAGCTCCAGGCAGGAGAGGGAGACAATGTTGGTGGTGGAGGGGGGGGGCTTGAATCTTCTCACCCTGGTTACCTACACCACCCTGAGGATAGAGACCCCAGCTTAAGGTAGACAACCCCATTTACTGGAAGAGAAGAGAAGCASGAAGGAAACAGAATTCTAAGTATTTTTTWWAAATTTTTTTCCTTCTGATCCTTCTTCTTTCTCCTCTACCCTCTATCCTCTGGCCCTCACAACCCCAACATATGTGAAACTAAGAACTTTACATGAAATAGAACTTTCAGAACTGAGTCATCTGAAAAATATAATATAGAGGAATTGCATAAGCCCCCCTTTTATTCTCTTTTTTCTATTTTCTCTCTTTTTCTTTCCTTTTTTTCTTTTCCTTATTCTTCTTTCACCCTCTAAACTTTACTATTTTAACATCCTGTAATTTTCTAAATACACATGTGTGTTTATTTTTATGTACTTTATTGTCCTCCCATGTACTTGTCTACTCTAAATTACCTTCTGTCTATTCCCCTGCTACTAACCCTCTTCATTAGAGTTCTCCAAATTTCCTAAGTTATATTAACCCCATACCCTCACATCTTTCCCCCTTAGCATATTGTCCTATGCCCAACCCTCAGTTCACTGTCCACCACCAGAAACAGTACATCTTTTATGAAACTACTGATTTTATTTTAAATGATAATTGAATCCAACATTTCTGGACATTGAGACTAATTATAAATGTCTTAATAACAATAATTTATTCATAGGTGATATACTGTTGATATTAGGATCTGTTAATATTGCCCTTCCCCACAAAACAGGGATCTTGAACCATACAAGAGCACTACAAATCTATAGAGTTAAAAWCAATAACACCAGTTCCACAGAGCTAGAAAGAAAAACACAAGCAACATGAAAAGACAAGGGAAGAAAGCACCCCAAACAATTCAAGACAACACATCATTAGAAGAATTGACAGCCAAAGCAGAAAAAAATGACAGAGAAAGATTTCAGGATATACATGATTAAAATGTTTTGGGATCTCAAAGAAGACATTAGAGAACAAATACAGGCAGT